GCCACTACTAGGTCCAGAGAGTTTTTAAATAATAAACAAATCAAGTATTAGGCTTCTTTCTTGTAGTGCAAAACAGTGCAAAAGATATCAAATGTAGTTTTAGCCATTTGTTTTAAACAAAAGAATATGTTGTTAACTCTTAACAGTTTCCAGTATTCTCACTTAAGAAATGAACAGCAACAGAGCAGCATTTTACACTGACGCACTTCACCTCCAACCCCCTAGTGAGCGCCTCCTTCTGCTTTAAGGAGAGTTGACACAAAAGGACTGTGGCTTTGACCAGAGGGTCTCGCAGTAAAATCATACAACACAGTGATCTTTTCACAGATCAGAGAGCAGGTTTCTCTAAAGCTGACCAATGCTTACTTTAACTTTCGACGGAAAAAAACAAACAAAAAACTTTCGACGGAACACAGCGTTTTGCGCATGCGTCCAAATACGGCAACACTACGGCAAGCTGGGCGTAGTTAGCTTGTAGCTTCGCTACTTAGCCCTCAAAGAAAAGACTTTAACACCACTTTTGCACAATTTTCAACTCAAAAAAGTAAAGATTAAATCTGACAGCTCTGATTTTACACTTGAACGCCACTTGCGCACAGTTTTCAACAAAAAAAAAGTAACTATTAAATCTGACAACTCCAATTTTATATTAGACACAGCATTACTGTGGTTAGCCGGTAGAAGTCAGATCTCTATCGTACGCTAAATTTCTATCGTTTCTACCATGTACCGTTTATATCGCGCATTCCTAGTCTTAAGTAATATTCTAATTTTCTGAGATACTGAATTTGGGGTTTTTATTAGTTGTCAGTTATAATCAACAATAAAAGAAATAAATATTTGAAATATATCAGTCTGTATGTAATGAATGAATATACAGGTTTCACTTTTTGAATGGAATTACTGACATAAATCCAGTTATTTATGATATTCTAATTTTATGTATTATTGGTGTGGGTTGGCTGTAGGGCTGTATACCGAACCAAGGTTTTTAAATGGCACCGACCGAACTGCGTCAGTCGGTGTATGGATTGAAACGTCACTCTTCTTTCGGTCCTCAGTGTGTAGCAGTGAGCTTTAGACACTGACGTGCCACTGGTTTGAAACTGTTCTTTTGACTTGAAAATTGTTTGTTTTTATTTAGGAAAACTGCTTGGAATAGAAAAATACCTAAGTTAAAAAATAAAACTCACAATTTGTACTTTAATGTGTAACATAATTTTATTCTTGTTAGAATTAATATTAGTTACAAAATTGGTACCGAAAAAAGAACCGTCCAGGAACCGACACCAAAGTGAAAGTACCGATACCGATTATTTTAGAAAGGTACCCAGCCCTAGTTGGACGCTGCCAGGACTGTCCCTTGTCTCTGATCCTGTTTGTGGTGTTAATGGACAGGATCTCAACGTGTAGTTATGGAGAGGAGGGTATCTGGTTTGGGAACCTCAGGGTTTCATATCTGCTTTATGCAGGTCATGTGGTTCTGCTGGTGTCTTTAAGCCAAGACCGTCAGCGTGCACTGGGGCGATTCGCAGCCGTGTGTCAAGCAGCTGGAATAAGAGTCAGTTCCTCCAAGGCTAAGGTTCTTGACTAAAAACGGGTAAAATGTTCCCTCTGGGTCAGGGGGAGTCTTTGTCTCAGGTGCAGGAGTTCAAGTGTCTGGGCATCATGTTCTTGAGTTATGGTAGGCTGAAGCAGGTGATGGATCAACAGATCAGGGCCTAGTTCTCAGTAATGAGGGTGTTTCTTTGGTCGGTCGTGGTGAAGAAAGAGTCAAGTTGAAAGGCATAGCTCTCAATTTATTACTGGTCTGTCTATGTTCCATCTGTCACCTGTGGTCAAGAGGTTTGGATCATGATGGGAAGAACCAGATCCTGGATCCAAGTGGTCAAAATGAGTTTCCTTCATAGGGTGGCTGAGCTCAGCCTTAGAGCTAGGATGAGGAGCTCCATCATCCAGGAGGAGTTTGGAGTCAAGCATCGAAAGGAGTCAGTTGAGGTGGTTCATCTGATTCAGATCCTCCTGGACACTTCCCATTAGAGTTGGGCATGTCCCACTGGTAAAACACCTCAGAGCAGACCCAGAAGTTGCAGAAGATTGTGTGTCTTCTGTGGTCTGTGAACACTAAAGGAAGAGCTAAAGATTGTCATTATGGAGAGGGAGGTCTGGGTTTATGTCCTGGACCTGTTGCCTCTGCGACCTGACTACAGATTAGCGGAAGAAGATGGAGAGTATGCTTACTCTAGTCGACCTGGGGTCCCGGCTGCTCAGGATCCACTGCCTAGGACCAGTAAAGGGAGCTACTCTTGGTGGTACCGCCGGTCACCTTGAACTGGAAGCCAAGTTTCCAGTTCAGCCTCGCTTCCAAAGCCACCATAAGACTTGGCTACACAAACCATTATTGCTGAGGCAGAAAAATAACTAAACATCTGACTCAGGAGGCAAGTGAGGACAGAGAAAGATGAGAGAGAACTAAAAGCCATGCTAAACTAATATTAGCATGAGTTAGAGGACCCCAAACACACAGATAAAACCAAGATTTGTGACAAGACAAGTGATACCTTAAGAAAAATTGTAGTAGTAGAAAACTAACTGATGAGTGCTTGTTTACTAGTTTGTAAAACTGTATGAAAGTTAGATACAGTGAGGAAAATAAGTATTTGAACACCCTGCGACTTTGCAAGTTCTCCCACTTTGAAATCATGGAGGGGTCTGAATCTTTCATCTCGGGTGCATGTCCACTGTGAGAGACATAATCTAAAAAAAAAAACCAGAAATCACAATGTATGATTTTTTAAATAATTTATTTGTGTGTTTCTGCTGCAAATAAGTATTTGAACACCTGTGAAAATCAATGTTAATATTTGGTACAGTAGCCTTTGTTTGCAGTTACAGAGGTCAAAGGTTTCCTGTAGTTTTTCATCAGGTGTGCACACACTGCAGCAGAGATTTTGGTCCATTCCTCCACATACATCTTCTCTAGATCAGCCAGGTTTCTGGGCTGTCACTGAGAAACACGGAGTTTGAGCTCCCTCCAAAGATTTTCTATAGGGTTTAGGTCTGGAGATTGGCTAGGCCACTCCAGAACCTTGATATGCTTCTTACGGAGCCACTCCTTGGTTCTCCTGGCTGTGTGCTTTGGGTCATTGTCTTGTTGGAAGACCCAGCCTCGACCCATCTTCAATGCTCTAACTGAGGGAAGGTGGTTGTTCCCCAAAATCTCTCACTACATGGCCCCGGTCATCCTCTCCTTAATACAGTGCAGTTGTCCTGTCCCATGTGCAGAAAAACACCCCCAAAGCATGATGCATCCACCCCCATGCTTCACAGTAGGGATGGTGTATTTGGGATGGTATTCATCATTCTTCGTCCTCCAAACACGGTGAGTGGAATTAAGACCAAAAAGTTCTATTTTGGTCTCATGTGACCACAGAACTTTCTCCCATGACTCCTCTGGATCATCCAAATGGTCATGGGCAAACTTAAGACGGGCCTGGACGTGTGCTGATTTAACCAGGGGAACCTTCCATCCCATGCGTGATTTTAAACTATGACGTCTTAGTGTATTACCCACAGTAACCATGGAAACAGTAGTGCCAGCTCTCTTCAGGTCATTGACCAGCTCCTCTCGTGTAGTTCTGGGCTGATTCCTCACCTTTCTTAGCATCATCGATACGCCACGAGGTGAGATCTTGCATGGAGCCCCAGTCCGAGGGAGATTGACAGTCATGTTTAGCTTCTTCCATTTTCTAATAATTGCTCCAACAGTTGATCTTTTTTCACCAAGCTGCTTGGCAATTGCCTCGTAGCCCTTTCCAGCCTTGTGGAGGTCTACAATTTTGTCTCTGGTGTCTTTGGACAGCTCTTTGGTCTTAGCCATGTTAGTAGTTGGAGTATTACTGATTGTGTGGAGTGGACAGGTGTCTTTATTCAGCTAACGACCTCAAACAGGTGCTTCTAATTTAGAATAATAAGTGGAGTGGAGGTGGACGTTATAGAGGAGGACTAACAGGTCTTTGAGGGCCAGAACTGTTGCTGATTGGCAGGTGTTCAAATACTTATTTGCAGCAGTAACACAAATAAATTATTTAAAAATCATATATTGTGATTTCCAAATTTTTCTTTTAGATTATGTCTCTCACAGTGGACATGCACCTAAGATGAAAATTTCAGACCCCTCCATGATTTCTAAGTGGGAGAACTTGCAAAGTCGCAGGGAGTTCAAATACTTATTTTCCTCACTGTATATCCAGTAAATTAAGACTTTGTGTGCAAATTAATTTACTCAGCTCTCAGCAAGAAGTGACACAGTTTGTTCAGTTAGTCATTTACCTATTATCCATCCGCTCTATGTTTACGTGTTCCACAAGGTCCTATACTCGACCTTCTATTTTTTATCATTTAACTTCTTCTTCTTGGCAACATCTTCCAAAAACAATGTTCAGTTCCACTGTTACGCAGAGGATACCCAGCTTTATCTGTCCACCACCCCCATTCTAACTTCCTTGTCACACTAGCTTTATTTAAGTAATGTTTAATGTGACGTGTATGTTGTCATTTTTGTTTGCTACTGCCTTTTATATTGCAGTTTTATTGCACAGTGGTCTTTGAGTGCCATGAAAGGCACCTTCAAATGCAATGTATTGTTATTATTATTATTATTATTACAATATGTTGCACTGTAAATGTCTTTCTTCTCCTTCCTATAAGCCTATAATTTTGTCAAATTTACAGATGTTGAGCTAAAATTTGATGTGATAGCAGCTGCAGGTCATTCAGACCGCATACTTTGACCTCTCCACATAAAATGATCTTAGTTTAAAACATGAATGGCATGAAGGCAGTGGGTGATTATCCATTCCTTTAAGAACCAGGCCTTCAGTTTGCTGTATTGAAATAAACATTTATCTGTGTACATGTTTTATTTCCCTGTCAAATGAAAAGCGTGGTCCTCCTGCAGAAGCTTCAGTTTAGTGCTAATACTTCATTTTTTCCTCCAGGTCGTGCATTAAGCGAGGCTGGCAGCAGTCCACACTCATCATGTCGGCTCCTCAGACTTCAGCATCAAAGGGAAAAGTAATGCTCAAAGAGTATACGGGTCGTTATGTTGAAATCGAGCAGATTTTCCGCTGGATGACCTCCCATGTGGCCAATCGAATCAAAACCCTGCGTCATTCCAAACAGCTCGTAGAAGAGTGGCACTCTGAGCCCGCTCACTCCACCAAGATGTTCCTGTTTGCTCATCTCTCCCAGCCTCCCGCCTTCTTCTCCTCGCTCTCTGTCAAGTTCACCGGCAGGATCGAGTTCATCTTCGTGGATGTGCGTCACTGGGACAACCACAGCAGTCTGCTGGATATCGGAGTGACTCAGAGTCCTGCTTATATTCTCAAAATGCCTGAGGGTGTTTATCGCTATGGCAACAGGTAATTTCTTTTTACATGGGTATGAATTTCTTGTCACTTAGAAAAGAAATCTTGCCTTTCTGTCCTCCTCACCACTTGTGCCGTCTCGACAGCACCGGGGAGTTCCTGTCTCTCGCTGCCATGGACACGTTTCTGCGCTCCGTCCAGCCGGAGGTCAATGATCTGTTTGTCCTGAGTCTGGTCCTCATAAACCTGCTGGCCTGGATGGACCTCTTCATCACACAGGTCAGGAGCTGTGGCTGTAAGGAAAGGGCTGTATCCCTTGAACTTTAACTCATTTTGTCACGTTACGTTACACCCACAAACCTCAAACTGTTTAACTGGGGTTTTAAGAAGTGGGAGGAAAATAACACAGTTTTACTTTGATACCTCTGTCTAAAATACAGCATCTCCTCATGAGTAAACTGAGCACCTCAGTATAAATTCAGCTGTTCTGGGAGCGTCAGGGGTTTGGTACAGAACATTAGTGATCAAACAGCATCATGAAGACTAAGGAACATACCAGACAGTTCAGAGATAAAGTTGTTGAGAAGTTTAAATTGCCTGTCACATACATTTCCCACAAGTACAATAAGCAGAAGAAGATATTTTTTGTATTTAAGCAATTTGGTATAATACGGTTGTCAAGTCAAGTTTATTTATAAAGCACATTTAAAAACAGCAGCTGTTACCAAAGGGATTAATAAAAAAATCAGTGGCATTAATTTAAAGAAAAAATAATAACAAAAATTACTTAAAAGCATCAAGATAAAAACGTAAAACAATAAAATACTAAAACAACTCGCATTGGATCAAAAGTCAGTGAAAACAGGTGTGTTTTTAAAAGAAATTTTAAAACAGGAAGTGAAGTGTCCTGTCTAACGTTTTTTTGTTGTTTTTTTTT